TTTTAATGTATATAAAATACAATATAAGAAAACAAATTATGTTCGAATTGTCCCATAAATAAATTGTGACGTAAAACCAATATTTTTCGGTATTTTGTAAGAGATTGAAATAAAGTCTTTAAAATAAATTTGATTGTTCAAATCACCAGAAAGACACAATTCGCGTACGAATAGGGAAATAGGATTAGACTCGAAATTTAATTTCTTTTCATTTTCATAATTTGAAAAACTATTAGAAAAATATGTTTTGCCAGACAATGATCGAGATATTTATACCCTGAACAGGAATATTAAGTTTGTCACGAAGTTTGTAACACCCAGAAGGGAGCGTCGGAGACCTTATAAAATATATACTATATATAAATGATCAGTATGTTGAGCTGAGTCGATTTATCCATGTCCGTCTGTCTGTCCGTCTGTCCGTCCGTCCGTCTGTCCGTCATTTTCTCTTCAAGAAGCTGCTCATTTGTCGGACCACTATAACATATAGCTGACATACAAACAGAACGATCGGAATCAACTTTCACATTTGACAAGTTCCATTCACGAAATTTGGTATTGATTATCTCCTAAAACAACAATATAATCCCCAAAGAAATTGGTCAGATCGGCTTACTATAGTATATAGCTGCCATACAAACCGAACGATCGGAATCAAGGGCTTTTTGGAAAGCTTTTGCATATAACGTGGTATCTTTGCAAAATTTGTTAAGGATTACTGCTTATGGTAATAACATAATCTCCGAAAAAATTGTTCAGATCGGATTACTATGGCATATAGCTTCCATATAGACTGAACACATAGTTACTAAATGAAATGCACCTGTGAAGGGTACATTTGCTTCGGTGCAGCCGAAGTTAACGTTGTTTCTTGTTTTTCAAACGCATTATCTCATAGAAAATTTTGAATATGCTTATTTACTACTTTGTAGAGTTTTAATCAACTAGTGGGTGATAATAAGCATTAGCAAAGTAACAGCACTACGTGAATAATATTATTTAATTAATTATACTGCAATTTCTTAATATTTATGTAGACATATAATCACATATTAGGATTCTAATTGAAAGTATTGATTACAACATAGAATTTTTGTTTCTTTCCTCTGCGTCTTTTATGTTCAATATTGTTGTTACTTCAGCTTGCAATCACTGGAGCCATTAGGAGAAGGTTCAGTATTTTGTTGGAACGCCATTCGAGTACGATCCGTATTTTTTTCATAACTGGTTACCATTCAATTCAAAAATGATTCGGCGTTTTTTGCTATTCAGTAATGATTTTATTTAAAGGTTTATTACATTTTGCAATCTCCTGATTCTTAGTTAATAACGAAACATAAACAAGTAAGGAAGAGCTAAGTTTAGGTATAACTGAGCATGTTCGACGAAATCGTAAACGTGTTCAAACCCAATTTTTATCTTATTAACTTGTAATAAAAGTCATTGGCTAAATTAGTTCTATAATTATGTTTTACTTCCCGTCAGCGAGAATTGTATTAGAAACATCATCAACTAAGACATATCAGACATAAACTAAACGAAAATAAATTTAATATATTTACTAAATGAGGAAGGGGATTCATTGCATTATGAGGTTTGGTCAAGGTCTTAACAAATTCCATACATTAAAAGCGAAAAACCACGAAGTTTTTAAGAAAACTTTCCCACATAATTTCACAAAATATCACACATTTTGACCAAGCTTAACTGTTTAGATATATGTAGTGGGTCGAAAATCACTAAATAGGGGCATGTGATAATACTGAACAGATTTTATTTATATTTGCCATTACTACATATTATTAACAGAAAAATGCCACCCCTATGTGCAGGATTTTTAAATCTTGATATTATTAAGATGGCGGCTAGAGAAAGTTTTCACTCGATTTTTTCCATTTTATTCATAAAGATGCATTGTCAATAGAAAAGCACTCTCTATCTTTCTCTTCATTAAGATCACTGACAATTGACCGATATTCACAGTTTAAAGTCAGCCTGAAGTTCGAAAGTTTTTAACTGTAAGGAATATTTCTGGATTTACTGGTCTGATTCAACCTATTTTTGGCCCTCGGGCAGAGTGTTATAATATAAGGATTTCTTCTGAGTTTCTTTATTATATCTCACAGCTTGATTGATATTTTCTAATTAAAACTTTGGTCCTATTTGAATAGTTCTGGTCAGGCACATTTCAAAGGCAATGTCCGTGGAAAATTTTATCCCGATACATTTATCGGCGCTTAATTTGTTTGCAGGAAAGTGAAAGATTCAGATGAATCTAAAATTATGTTGTGTGTGAAGTAGGCGTGGTTGTAGTCAAAAAATGTCAAAATAATGCTACTTACCGAGTTTGGTTGAAAGTGGTCAAGCAGGTGCCGAGATATGCACTTTACCTAAATCTGGGCGGTGCTACGCCCATTTTCAAAATTTAACAGATGCTCCTATGTAATCCTCTCTTTTGATCCTGGTTGTAGAGATTCAGTTTTCTGACGTTTTTATTTATTAATTCAGGGGTGCTTAAGGAATTTGTTGGTTTTGTTTAATGACATTTTGTGGGCTTGGTAGTAGTTCGATTAACCCCCTGTGTGAACTTGTCCTGCAATTTTTACCAAGAAAGACTTGTAACAAGTTTTACAAAGATACTTCAATGTTTACGCAGGTTACCATTTTCACTGACGGACGGATGGACAGACAGTAACGTGGAATTCAACTCGTCTAGGCATTCTTTTTTTATATACTTGTATATATAAACCTATATCTATCTCGATTAATTTTAGGTGATACAAGAAAGTGTTAGATGAACATGTGGAGAATTTAATAATTTTTCTTTTTTTATTTTCGGATAATTTCCAGCCGATTTATGGTGAACACCTCAGAGTGTTTGTTTTCTCAAGACGTTCTGGCAGAAACTCTCTTACCGTTTTATTCTTCAGCAGGAAAAAATTATCCAAGATTGTCAGAAGTATGTAAATAATGAAAAAAAGCTGGACACATAGTTACTTAAAACCTGTGTGCCCAAAAAATAAGGTGACATTGTATTTATTTTGAAAATTCTTTATTTATTCTTCCAAATCAATTTCATCCCCTTCAAAGTAATCCCCTCCCGACGCAATGCCAATGGATTTTCCAATCTTCGAAACACTGGTTGTAGTCACTTTCCGGGATGGCCTTCAGTTCCGTCTTCACTGAGGCTTGAATATCGTATAAAAACGGTGTCCCCGGTGCGGTCTCTTGAGCTTGGTGCACAGCCAGAAGTCGCACGGTGCCTGATCAGGTGAATACGGTGGTTGCGGAACGATATGGGTTGAGTTTTTGGCGAAATGATCACGAATTACGAGGGCAGTATGGGATGGTGCATTATCGTGGTGTATAAACCAAGAATTGTCTTTCCACAATTTCAACCTTTTTAGACGGATAGCTTTACGCAAACAACGCATAACGTTCAAATAATATTCCTTGTTGACTGTTTGACCGGTTGCAGGGAATTCATAATGCAAAACACCACGATAACGAATTTTGGTCTCGGCTCTCTTTTGGCACGATATTCGCCCGATTGATCGGTTGTTTCGGGGTTGTAAGCATAGATCCAAGTCTCATCGCCAGTTATAATGTGCTTCATGACACCCTGGTAGTCGGAAAGCATCGTCTCACATACGTCAACGCGACGCCTTTTTTTTTAAAAAGTTTAATGTTTTCGGTACCAGTCGAGATTTGACGCGCTTGAAGCCCAAAATATCCTTCAAAATGGTAATGGCTCAGCCTTTCGATATGCCAACTTYATCAGCAAGGTCTCTAATTGTTAATCGGCGGTTTTTCAACACCAAATCTTTGATTTGTTGAACGTGAGCTTCGTCGGTTGAGGTTGATGGTCGCCCTGGACGCTCTTCGTCTTCGACACGTTCACGGCCGGCTCGGAACTCACTATACCACTTGTAAACATTTTTTTTAGACATAGCCTCATCACCAAAGGCTTTCTGCACYATCCTCAACGTATCCGCAGCAGAAAATTGATTCCGTAAACAAAATTTAATGCAAAATCTTTGTTCAACAAATTTCGACATCGCAAAAAACGAAAAACTCACTTTTAGCAGCTCACAAAACGAGACGTATCTCAAACACTAATGAATATATTGACATGAAGTTTGA